GCCGCTCCGTTGCCCGCCGAACGGTACATGCTAAAATGTCCTTTTTTCGCACTCTCTCCCCTCCCCTCCGCCTCCTCTCGCCGTGTGATTTCCTTGCGCGCGTGGGAGGCTCGCACACGCCTCGGCCGGCTGGCTGGCTGCGATTGGCGCTGCTTTGCGGGCGGGTCTGCTTCTGGCTGTCGGTAGGTAGTAAGCCATACGCCAATAATTGCATGTAAACCGCTCATATATAGATATGATGATTGATTAATTGATTGGTTGATTGATTGGACTTGTTGATAGAGTAAGATATGATATAGATATAGTAAGAATACATATTCACATATGCTTATATGTATGTGTATATATGTGTGTGTGTTGCTTATCTATATATATATAATATATAATTACTAGTATATATTAATATATATCCTATGGAACATATTATATATTGACACTATATATATATCATATCTCTATAAATATTACTAATATTACTCTATACATATATAATTGATATATATATATCTAATAATATATCATATATATAATATGTACAGTATACTATATACTATATATTATTATATATATATATATATAATTTGGATATATATAATGTATAATATATATCCATATATCTACACCCAACACACACAGACACGACCACAGCATATGCAGTCTACTATATACCTTATATATATATCATAATAATATATTATATGTATATATATATATATTGCCATTATATATTATATATTATATATATAATATATTATATAATATCAACTATATAATATCACTCATTATAAGTGCTGTATGTAGTGTTGTGTTGTGTCTGTGTGGTGTGTGTGTGGTCTGTGTATATAACCTCTATATATCTCTGGTATATTATAATATATATTATCATGTTAATATATATATATATAGACTACTATAGCTGGTATTTAATGTATATATATAACTATATATATAATATAGATTACGAATATAGATATATGTAATGTATGTTCATGTAAATATATATACTACTCCTTTAAACAGGCGGATATTATTGCAACTTAATAGTTATATGAACCCTCTATATCAGTATCGTCTGAAGACTATGATAGATACGGTCCATATTGATGATTATAACAGGTGACGTACAACGAGTCCTAGAAATCCAAGTAGATATACGTAACTAACATCAGACCTACCGCACACACCACACCCAACCGCACAGTGCATACCGAGTCACTCACGATCTAGCACCGACAGAGAGACGATGACATCGAAAAGATTTATATGCTGAACTATAGTCACTGGCTATATTCTCCGCTCCGCTCACCGGAGTAGATATACTATTCGACGAGTGTGTATATGATGTGGAATATATTAATCCGTATATATAGCATATGCTGGTGATTGAGTTTGGCATGCATACAGGCATAGATAGAATATAGCTGGAAGCGGTCCCTATCTAGCGTAATCAGTCATGTGATGTGAGTAGAGACTAATATATATATATCATTATAACCGAGGAATATTTTTTATAGGGTCTGACACATTACTCAGCAATAAATATATGTGGTGGTGTGTGTGTGGATGTGTGTGTGTGGTGGTGTGTGTGTGTGGTGTGTAGATAGTAGTATATAGTATATGATATATAACCTATATATATCTATTAATGTTGGTTACACCATATTTCACGATTATGAGTGGTAAATGTGGTGCGTATAAGACTTGCCTGAGGATATAAGACTCACACTTAGCTCAAGTAGGAATGGTAGATGGTATGTTTATTTGTGATGACGCGTATATATATGTATAGTATATATTATATATTATATGTTATATATATATAGATATATGTGTGTGTGTGTGTGTGTGGTGTGTGTGTGTGTGTGTGTGTGTGTGTGTGGTGTGTGTGTATGTATGTATGTAATATGTACACACACACAACGCACGAGAGAGAGAGAGGGAAATATCATGTGTTATTGCGCATGAGGGAGCATGTATACAGATATGTATATTCCCCCTATTATGCTAGGAATTTTTGATATGTCGATGCGAGGAAATGGCAGTATATTTCTTTATACATAGATGTACACAATATTACTAATGTACTTACTATACATACTTGCAAATAATGTATCTACAATACATGCGCATATGTGTGTGTTTCCACGCGTCTTGTGTGTGCACAATAAGTGTGTTCGTGTGTACGTGTGTGTGACTACGGCAATAGAGAGAGAGTTGAAACACGCGACTTAATTCCCCTGACGC